TGCTCTTCTTCTTCTTCTTCTTCTTCTTCTTCTTCTTCTTCTTCTTCTTCTTCTTCTTCTTCTTCTTCTTCTTCTTCTTCTTCTTCTTCTTTGCTTTTCCAGTAGCTGGACGTTGCTTCTCGGATGTTTCCACATAAAACACTTTGTTTTGTCTCTCGCTATTCTACCTACCTGGGTTGTTTTGGTTCCAATTAGTTCCAAGTCAGGTTCCCATGTTTTGTTCCCATAAAAGATACAAAGGATACAACGATTGTTGTTGGTTGGCAGATGCTCTTTTGTGGGTTGCTCATTCTTTCCTTCCAAACACCATTCGTCCTTGTCTCTCATTCTTTTGTGTGTTTGTTACTCTCTTAAAACACCTCTAATCTTCAGCACTTGATTATTTGACCTATTGTGTTGCAAATGGCGTAAAACTATAAAAAAAAAAAAAATTAAAAAAAACTTAACTAAACTAGACGTCATTTGGCGGTGAAGAGAGGCAAATGGTCGAAAATGATATAATTTGCAAATTTACAACGAATGAAAATGGCCCCAGTGTGTGGCATTCTTTTAGGGTTATGTGGTTTTCGACTTCCAACGATAATATTCAGTTGTCAGTCATTGTTTTGTCTGGGTGGTAAGTATAATCTCCTCAGCACTCACCACTCAGCACTCAGCACTCAGCACACGTCTTTGTTTATAGAAGGGTACAGAGATTTTGCCCATCAGTTCTCTTGATTGATACATTGTCATGTTATGTTTTGTGTATAGCCAGCCATTCCGGGTCGTTCAGAAGACAAGTACTTCTTGCGAGCAGTGAATAACTAGTGGAGATGTGAGTGAATGTATTGTAAAGGTTTTGCTTTTTCTTGGGGGGGGGGAGAAAGAACAGAGAGAGAGAGAGAGAGAGAGAGAGAGAGAGAGAGAGAGAGAGAGAGAGAGAGAGGATTTTCAGTGTTCATTAATATATAATATTATAGTCAGCAATTAAGTGACTTGTTTTATTAAGTTTGACTCGATTTACTAGATAAAATTTATTGTAAATTAATTTATTATACATCTACACATAAGAACATGACAGACCAATAAATATAGAGTTCGAGCCACATTATGGACATGCCCTTTTTCGACAAGCCCTCTCTTTCTTATTTTTTCTCCTCCTTCTTGTTCTTGTTTTTGTTCTTCTTGTTCTTGTTCTTGTTCTTGATCTTCTTCTTCTTCTTCTTCTTCTTCTTCTTCTTCTTCTTCTTCTTCTTCTTC